GCAGGGCTCCGCCTACTTTACCGCTCCCTTCAGGTGGTTTGGCTTCTCTTTCTAGGCTCTCATTTCCAGAGGCTTCCTGGAGGTGGGCTGTAGATGTTCCTACGCCTAATCTCCTTTCCTGTCCCTCCTAGCCTCTGTGTGCCTCTCAGAGTCCAGATGTGGGTGTCAGTGCAAGGAGCACAGACTCTAAGCTGGAGGCCCTGGGTTTAAATGCCAGCTCTGTCACTGTGTGGTCTTAGTTCTGGAGCTGAGCTTCTCTGACTCCGGTTTTCTCATATGAAAGCATGAGGGTATCAGCAGCAACAGTGCCACTCACCTCACTGCTAAAAGCAGGAGAAATACAAGGTGGATTCTCAACAAGCTTTTCATCAACCCTCCCCAGGAATCCTTTCCTCCCTGCTCTGGGACACAGAGAGGTTCTTCTGGGCAGGAAGGGGAGGTCTGGCTTTGCTTGGTGTACTTACTAGGTCTTTGGGACATTTATTGAGGGTGGGTGGGACCCGAAACAGCTAACCTGATTGCAGTCAAACCTTGTTATTATGTTCCTGCCCAGAATGTCACTTAAAAAGCACTTAGGGCTCTCCCCAGAATACACTTGCCAAGGAATCAGGATATCACAAAACACCCTTAAATTGGAGAGAGAAAACAGAGAAACCTGAGAAGCCCCTGTCCTGGAACATAGGGAGGAGCTGCGGGAGGGGAAGGAGAGCACCACCAGGCGCCAACACTTACAGTGAGGATGCTTCCTGGCTAGCCGCGCGGTGTAGTGCTGGGTGGAGGAGGCTGCAGTGAGGCCACACTTCAGATGTCTGAGGTTGGAGGCTGATTCTAGATGATGTGACTGGAGGGATACTGTGTGGGCCCTGTTGGGGCTGTTGTGTGGGCCCTGCTGACGTCATAGAGCCTGGATAAGGACTACACAGGCTTGACTAAGTCCCAGGTCTGAAGGAACTTAGAGGCTCTCAAAGGCGGCATCGGTATCACCTGGCAACTAGGTGGAAATTCCGATTCCCCAAACCCACCCAGACATGTGGAGTCAGCCCTCCTCTCTCACCACAAACTTTGCTTAGTGCCGTGGCCTCAAGGTAGCACAGGGAAATCAGGCCTCCTCCTGCCTGGCTTTGCCCTGGTGGAAAACTGTGGAGTTGGGATTGGGGTGAAGATGAGCATCAGAGAATGGCTTGCTTTACATGCAAACAGTGAAGGTCCAGGAGAGGATAAGGACAAGCACAAGAGCATCAGCTTTTGTGTGCATAGTATTTTTGTTTTCCAAATATTTTTACACACCTTGTCTCATCTGAAGAACATCAAGTAGTATTCAAAGGACAGTCCATTGTAATTATAATTATTAGTAATATTTATATAACTAGCTAATGCATGCCTCTCATCTCCACAACAGTGTGTGAGCCAGATTTGATCTCCAGCCCTTACACCTTACTGCAGGCTGCCATCTGTGGCCCTTGAACCTTGGCATGCTTAGGCACCTCAGGGACATGCATCCACAGGCAGGACTCCAATCCTCTTCAGGGAAATGGGTCTGCCCCCCGGCCTCCCCCTCTCCCATACATACCTGTAGGTGTCAGTGGCTGGCACTTTCCAGATCTGGATGCCCTTCAGGGGCCCTTCACTCCCTACCAACACACTCTGGTTGGAGTTCTGGTAGGCATTGTTGCACTGGGCCTGCGTGGGGCCATGGGGTCCGCTGGCCCCGCATGTGGTGAACAGCCAGTGAACTGTGGCACAAAAGGAGAGATAGTCACTCACTTGGCCTGGCCTGGCTTTCTTCATAGGCCTCTCTGGACTGTCTCCAAGTAGTCAGCTCAATAGGTTCAAACATGCATTCCAAGATGGTATCATGGTTGAGTCAAGAAACACTGATCAGCCATTCAAACTGTAAATTTCTCTTGAGCTTACTATGTGCCAGGGGAAAAAAGCCATAGAAAGATCCAGGTAATACTGTGCTATGGGCCATCTGAGGAGGGAGTAAAGTGTCCTTTTATGTGGCACAGACATGGACCTGACCTAGAATTCTCCTGGTCTCTCATAGAGTCCAGCACAGAGATGGGCAAACTATAGGCGCTCCATCTGATCTACTATCACTGTCGCTAACCTGCTACTAAAGGCTTGGCATGTGCATATAGGAACCTTGTAGCTTTGAGAAGACAGAAAATAGAAATTAGACATAGTACTAGCCCCATGACCCCACCATTGGCCCAGGCACCCAGGACAGGTGGGAGCAGGAAGTCTCCCACTCCTGGCTATGGCTCTGTCTGTCAGACACTTGGTAACAGACCCTGAACGTCAGGCCTCAACTTCCTTATTAAAACCAAGTTGGACTTAGAAATGTAATGAGAGTAGCTTTCAGGTTCTGTATGCAAAAGAGAGTATTAAAAAAGAAAGAAAGAAAGAAAGAAAGAAAGAAAAAACGGGTCAAATTTGTCAACTTTTGCCTTTTTTCTCCTAAGGCTACTTCCTAGTGAGCTCTGTCCTTGCCCAATATCCTTGGATGGCTTTCTGGGGGCATTGCAGGAACACTCAGCACAAACCCTCCCCCATCATCTCATTACCAACCACTGAGCTATTTCCTTTCAAACTTTCTACCTTTGAGCCAGGCCAGACCTTGGGGAGTTTTCAGATCTCTTTTTGGCCACAATTCTAGCATAGTTTTCTTTCTTTCTTTTTTTAACAACTTAGAAAAACTTTTAAAAATGTATTCTTGATAAATTATTTTTACTTAAAAGAAAAAAAATCTCATTATCAGATTGTCAAGATTATTTTTCTTTAAAGAGAGATTAGGTCAAATTGTACCCACAGGAAATGATGGAAGCATTAATTTAAGTATACATAGCTTTGTTCACTAAAACATTAAAGTGAAAAAAAATTGAAGACTTTGAACTAATTTAGTGATGAACATAAAAGAGATTAATTGGGGTTGCCAATTATAAACAAACAGATTGAGATTATGCTGGGCAGGATTGATAATTTGAAAACTGGGCCAGTTGTGGTAGGCTTTTGTGAGAGGGCCCTGGCCCCAAGGTCAGAAGCATGAAGTTCCACTGGGGCTCCAATACTTACAGCTATCCAACACAGCACTCGTGATTCATTTTTATCAAATGAATGGTCTGTTTGACTTCTGAAAATAATTTCAAGGACTGGGAGGTAGTGAGTCCATTTACCTTTTTTATATATGGCTTAATGGTTAATTTTCTGATCTATTTGTGTTATAAAGGGGGCAGTCTTAATAGTTCAAAGGCCTAACTCTTTACAAAATGTATTTTAGCAGAACATTGTTGGCCAGTTGCCTTTTTACCTTTACCAGAGCCTAAATTCCACCTGCAGGCTGTGCTAACGGTGTGAAGTGGATGGACCATGGCTTGGAAATCAGCAAGAGCACCTGGGTTTGGGGACAGTCTCATCAACTGCTGATTATGAGACCTTGATCTAGTTCCTTCATCTGGGGCTGGATTGGCATGTTAAAAGAAGCAGAGGGATAGGAAAGCCATCGTGAAGTCCCAAAGTCTAAAACTCTGACTTGTATCAGTGGCACCTATCTGTATCCAGGACTGGTGTTGTCCCTGACAACTGGAAATGGGGTCAGAGGGAGGTTCTGTGAATATGGATCCCATGCCAGCAGCACCTGGGGATTTCAACTCAGTGGGGCTGGGAGAAAAAGAAAAGTTCTGAAAGTGAGTTGATAAATCTACCTCTCCCATTATCTCCAACCCGAAGCCTATTCTGCAGACCCATCTACATCTATAGCAAATGGCCTGGTTCTGGAGTAGCCTCATCTACCTGAGGACAGAAGCATGGTGATTTATTTGATTAATTCAATCATGGAAATAAAAGAGTTTGTGTGTGTGTGTGTGTGTGTATTTAAAAAAAATTTTATTTCTCAAGAGTTGGCTGGGGGAAGACAGCCTTCAGTGGGACCCACTTTTAGCTTCAATCTAGCTGAACTAGCATTGCTCAGAAGGTTTTGAGACATTCCTAGGAATACTAGGCTTCTGTATTTTGGCCAGGTAGGACATCTGGTGAGACAGGAAGAGGGGCATGGGCTCTAGATTCAGCTGTGCCAATTTTTCTCATCCTGGATTTTGCCCCTGACCTGCTGTATGACCTGGGTTAGATTATATTACCTCTCTGAGCCTCAATTTTCTAACCTGAACAAATGGAGATTAGCTTAGGCTTTCTGTGAAAGTGAAAAGATGATCTAGGCAAAGGGTCATTCAGCATTAGAGATGCCTAATGAATATAGTTTAAAAAGTGTGTAACTTCATGTTCACTGTGGGAAGCAGACACCCAATCTCAAGATTTATGCCCCCATCCCATAAAGGAGGGACTCTAGGGCTATTTCTCAATAAAGGGACCAGTATTTTCCCAGTTCAATGGATGTATAGTAGTCTCAGGTGGTTTCTCTACACAAAATTTTGTTTTTATTTTCAGTGATTTCTGATGGAAAGGCCCAGAGAGGAAAGTCTTTCTAAAGTGGATTTCATGGGAACAGAGAATTTGCCATCCCCGGTCAGGCTCATGATTCATCCAGCCAGAAATCTGCGCTCCCAGTAGCCTTTGAGGCATGGAGGTGCTCCCTGCTCTCTTGGATGGCTCTGACCCACATAAATCTGCCCGATTTTGTTTGGAATCAATTTATGTTTCCCACCAGCACCACTTCTTCGGAGTATGGAGTTTGAGTTTATTACTCCTTCTGCAAGGGTTATCCTGCTTCTCGTATCTTGTTCAAGCTTCTTCCCTTTGGCTCCCTTCATTCATTTTGTCTGAAATCTCATAGAATGTCACAGAAAGATGGGACCTTAAAAAAAATCACAAAATCAGCGGTTCCCAAACCATTTAAGAACCTTCAAAATACAGATACCTGGAAATCCAGATTCAGTAGTTCTGGGTGGGGATGGGAAGGCAATACCTGTTTTATGTAAAAACCTTTCCAAGAGAACCTGATAGTCAATCAGATTTATAGACTAGTCCCATCTACCTCTTTGTCCAGATGAAGAAAGAACATTCTGGATAGAGCAAGTGGTTTTTCTGAGCGTGTCAGCATTGAAGAAGGGGCCCAAATTGAGAATTACTCCTTCTCCTTTCTGCCTTGAAGACTTCCATCCTATTCAGATTATCCTTACATGAGTCCCTGATCTCCCGTGTCTTTCTTAGGAACTTCCTTAACGCTAGAAATCTGTTTTTTTAAAGATGGGTCCACTAGAACAGTGGGTACCTGTGAGGATAATTGCTATTCTGCTTTATTTCTAGAGTCTCTGTGAAGGTGCTTGCTTGGAATAGACTTTAATATTTTCCAGATCCTTGCCCAAGGGTTGGACTATGGCTCTGAGCCTGGTGGCATTGTGGGCCTAGTAAAGTTCCACAGGAAACAATCTGGAAGAGGGGATGGTGGAAGCAGGAAGGACCTAGCAGTTCTGGCAGGTACAAGATCAGCTCTAGGCTAAGGTAGGTTAGAACCATGAGAGGGTAGGCAGGAGCTAGGTGAATTTTCAGCACTCTCACAAGAGTAGAAGGCTTTGGACACAACCTATGGACCGAAGCAGGCAGGTGAGAGGCAGGAGAGTTATCAAATATCTTGGGGTATAGGAGAGACCAAGGTGAGCTTTGATCTGCAGGTGGAAGCTGCTTTTTTTCCTTCTGGGTGTGTGTAGGGGCTGGACCTTAGATACCTAAGAGGTAAATCCACCCATGAAGGGGGCAAAACCTCTCAATATTTACTGCCCCCCTCCCAAGTAAGTCAGGCTCTGTGCTTTTATACATGTATTAAATGCCTTTAAACGTTCTGAAACTTTGTATAGCTGAAGGCAAAGTTATAGTATTCCCTTTAATTCAAGTTCAGAGCAGCTGAGAGCTTGTTCTGTAGCGTATGCAGTGAGTGGATAATTGGTTAAGGCAGGGATTAAATGCAGATTTTTTGTGAAGCGAAGTTCAAGGATAAAAATAGTGCTAGGATTATGGGGAAGTCCCCATGAACTTTTCTAAATGATACGTTTCTTCCTTTTCAATCCCTGAGCTGGGGGCTCATTTCAAGCCAGGACAGACTAAACCAAGGTTGCTCGGGCACAGACAGTAGGCAAGTCACCATGAAGGGTCTGGCCAGGGTACTGTGGTGGATGGACCCTCAACCCTAGAAAGCCCCACAGTGGCCCCAGTAGTAATTTAGCTTAGTGGAGTGTGGGCATCAATAGGTCAAGAGAACCAGCCCAGGAAAAGAGATGGTCAGGGTCAATTCTCCAAGAGGCCACTGGGAGCCAGCTGGTATCAAAAGGGAAATCCAGTGACTGGAATGTTCACAAGGTCAGGAAGCAGAGAGAGATAAGAAAGAGGAACTGTACCACAAGCAACAGGGCAAAACTCTGGTTTTTAGGGAGATTAAAGTCCCACTGAGACCAGCAGTGAGGCAGGCTTGATGCTGAGCTGTCAATCTAAGGTTACAAGGGTCTCCATATTTCCCCTGCAGAGGGTCCTCATTGGCCCCTGAAGCTTGTGGAGCCACACGAGAATCAAATGGCCCTCAGAGAGGAGCCCGGATTGGGGGCAGGGAAGGGAGAAATCTGCCCCTTCCTTTTTCTCTTACTTAAACAAATGAATCCCTATTTTATTAAAAGTCATTTATGAAAACAAAAAAGGAATGGCTTTATTTTGTTCTACACAGCACCACACACTGCAAGTGTAGTTTAGTGCTCATTCACACCTAAATTGTGTAAAAGAACCCCCCACA